GGCTAAATTATATCAGGCATAAAAAGTATAAAAATAAGATGACAATATAAAAATATGGCAATCAAGGAGGATAGGCATTGTACACTAAAAAGGCTATCTATCTTGAAAGTATCACTAAATAAAAGAATGATCACATAGGAGGTTGACAGTTATGACGCATGATTGACGAATTGACCTGCATCATTGTTAAATTCAAGCCAAATATACACGTCTCTTTTGAGGAGAAACCATTCTCCAACATAGTACGGCATAAACAGAACAGAAGCGACAGACTCGCCATATTTTACCATAACAATACCAAAGATATTTAATATGTCTTTAAATATTTAACAATATCAAAAAAAAAACAATTAATTCATTAATATTAACAATAATATTTTTTATTCTGATAGTAACTACAAACCAATCTTATATACTTAGCAGTTAATAAAATTGGCATATAATATCACTAACAATATCTTTTTTATAGTTAATACTTTTAATTGAATCAAAGTATCAATAAAGGTTCTAACTTATCTATACAAATCAATTTAAATACCTTTCTATATTATAGCAAATATCTTTTTTCTTATTAATATTAAATAAAATAATAACCTTCTTAATATTTTAGCAAAATAATTACCAAAAATACAATTAAATTCAAATTATTTAATAATTTTTTATATATTTTTATATTAATTTTAATTATTATTAATTTATCAATTATAGTTATAAACTTTTATATCCAAAATGAATATAATTTCTTTAAATGTATTTTCAAATTAATATTCAATTATTTTAATTTCTTTTTATTTAATGCTAAGTAGATAATTATAACTGCTTAAATCTTTTGACAAGATATATTGTTTTAAAATTTTTTTTTAATATTAATTAAGTAATTACTATAAGCAAACTAGCATTTAACTTGTACTTTTACACATAAGAGATGTTGTTTCTTTTACAATGTATATCTGACATTATACAAATTAAATAAAGAAATAATGTTTATCTACTAAAAAAAAAAAAAATAATAATAAAAAATAAAAAATAACTTAATAATTAAGATAATAAAAAAAAAATTCTTGTTTAATTAATATGATTTTTTGAGAAAAGTATATATACTATATTAAACAGAAACAAAAAAGTAACTATTGAATGTTGCTTTAAAATAGTAATCAAAGAATTAATACAAAAAATTTTCAATAAGTAATAAATTTATTTTTATACATGAAAATTAATGTTTTTAGATATACAAGATAATTTGCTAAAAATTCGTGTAACCAGTTCCCAATTTATTAAAGTTTTTTTATAAGTATTGTGAACTGATAATCTAGTTGTCTACCAATCTACCGAGAACTCGTAAAAATGGCATCAGTCGTGGAAAAGATCCAAGAAAGTCGGGTATTAAGATTTTTTCATAATTTATAACTGAAACCACACATGTTCTGACACAATGAAATTTCTCCTTCCACTACATAAAACAGTCGAAGCCGAAATGGCTCGTACACAAAAAAACAAAGCTACATCATTCCATTTGGGAACATTGAAGGCCAAGTTGGCCAAACTACGTAAAGAATTAATGACACCGCAAGGGGGAGGCGGCGGCGGTGGTGGTACGTTATCCGTTATCAGAGTGAGAATAATTCACCGATTAAATCGATCGATCATTCAGAGCATATATACTTTAGATAGATCTAATACTTTGTTCATTATTTCAGTTGGTTTTGATGTGGCAAAAACTGGTGTTGCCCGGATTGGTTTTGTTGGTATGTGATACACGTAATAAGGCCAATAACTTATTTTTTTAATAATAATATTATTATTCTAATAACAAGTAACCATTTTGCAGGATTTCCTTCAGTGGGAAAATCCACGCTAATGTCTAAGTTGACTGGTACTTTTTCCGCCGTTGCAGCATACGAGTTTACCACCTTGACTACCGTCCCAGGTGTGCTTCAATATAAGGGCGCAAAGATTCAGATTCTTGATTTGCCTGGTATTGTCGAAGGTGCAAAAGATGGTAGAGGTCGTGGTAAACAGGTTATCGCGGTGGCCCGTACTTGTTCACTCATTTTCCTTGTGCTCGATGTGTTAAAGCCTCTTACCGATAAAAGAATTATTGAGAATGAATTGGAAGGATACGGTATCAGGTTGAATAAAAGTCCACCTAATATCTACTTTAAGAAAAAAGAGAAAGGAGGGATCAACATGACGAACACTGTGCCGTTAAATCATTTGGATTTGGAACAAGTTAAAGCAGTGTTAAGCGAGTATAAGATTCATAATGCAGATATTAATTTCAAATGTGATGCTACCGTTGATGATTTGATAGACGTCATTGAAGGAAGAATTTATATACCCGCCGTATATGTACTAAACAAGGTATTATAAAATTAATCGTCTCTCTTTACATAGAATTGTTAAATGAATTATGTTGATAAATCTTTATAGATCGACCAAATTAGTATAGAAGAATTGGACCTTGTATATAAAATTCCACATGCGGTTCCTATTTCAGCTCATCACGTAAGTTCTTTATTATTTATTATAAATTTAGATGTTTAACTAATGCCTACACATTCAACATTATAGGAGTGGAACTTTGACGGTTTATTAGAAAAGACTTGGGAATATCTTAATCTTCTTCGAATGTATGTTTTTTAAAGCATCTATATGAACATTTATGATTTATTGCAATTGAAAGTTTAGCTTATCCTTCTCATAATTATTTAAAGTTACACAAAACCGAAAGGTCAGCTACCTGACTATAGCGCACCAGTTGTTTTAAAACAGGACCGTAACACCATTGAAGATTTTTGTAACAGTATTCATAAAGGGATCGTTAAGCAGTTCAAATAGTAAGTTCTCACTTGAATTTTTTCCTACTAGGATTATCATGAGAAGTTTTTTAATAAAATTTTTTCATTTGTTAGCGCGTTGGTATGGGGTAATTCTGCAAAGCACCAACCTCAAAAGGTCGGATTGACCCATCAGCTTCAAGATGAAGACGTGGTTCAATTAGTTAAACAATAACATGGGGATTTGTTTTAATATGGTAGCGAAATGCCTATAACGGAAGTTCTTGGTAGATGTTAAATGAAGTCAAAGTTTAATGTGACCGGTCATGGGTTACGGATGGTCTAGATACTACTAGATGTGTGAGATTAATTGTCTCGAGTGCAATTTGTATGAAAAGCCGTTTATATTTATCAATCAATATTGAAGTTTTCTTTTCCATGATGAATGGAGTGGACTGATGGTACTTGAGCAATGTAAAACCGAAAATTCATCACAATAATAAATAATTATATAATGAATTCTGTAAAAATAAAAATATCTAAAATAGTGTGTCGTTATAGAATAATTTCAGAAAAAATTTTCACAAACAATTTATCTTTATTCATTTATTACAGTTTTACAAATACAGTATATTTGTTTAAATTTATTTAAATTCTACACTACCATACTCCACGCTGATTACAAGTATTATCAATACTAGATTTATTTTAATAAGATTAAAATCTTGCAAATAATAATACATGTGTTTAATGAAATATTTTACAAATACTTTTTTTAAAGTAATAACAATAAAAAATTTATTTGATATCTTTTTAAACAAACAAGTATTATACAGAATCGTTGGTGCAATGAGTAATACTGTTTTTTTTTTTTTGTTATTTTGATACTTGATAAATTTTAATTTACATATTTAAAAGATGTATATATGGTTATTGAGTTATTTAAATTTTTTCTATTGGTTTGAAGGAAAATTCGACGCTTTACTACAAAAACTTGTGCACACGTTCATAACTATGTGTATCATCGTAGGACATTTGAAAAGGTGTATCTATACATAATATTTAGGCCATTAATCACCCCTATAGATTCAATTACACACGCGATCACGATGTTTGATATATATTAATAAAATATTTTTTTATTTATAATCGAATTCTTTATTAAAAAGTCGATAACACAACCATTAAAAATTTTCTATAAAAGGGAAAGAGGTAAAAAAAAAAAAAGTTAAAAAAATCAGATAGAAAAGAATAGAAGTAAAAAGATTGATAAAAGTTGCCTACCTTTTCCGTAGAAAAATCTTGTACCATCTTTAAATCCTTGACTCCACAAATTACACTTTTCATGTAAGACATTACCTAGAGGCTTTGGTCCACAGAAGAATACACCTACATCAGTCGCTGGATATTGATCTCTCATGGTTGAAAAGATCTTATCCCAATTTGGACGACCGAAATGTGTTGGCGCTTTCAGACGTGTGATGGTATCCTTTGAGCTGCCATCATCATTCACCAAAATATTATTTACTTCTGAATGACGTAGGCGACCAGTTAGGTACGTGTGAATTTCAATGAATTGATCTATATCGCGCTCTTCAATGGCTAATAACAATGATTGGAACCATTCAAAGGACTGACAAACAGCGAGAAGTAATTGAAATACGAAAAACGAGATTAGGAAAAACGTATCGAGAAGATTCTTACTTTTGAAAAAATGAGAAACACAAACATACGCTGTAGTCACGGCAGATCCAGAAAAAGTATGCCTTGCGAAGCTTGGTGGACTTTGTTGGATAGGTCACACGATACCTGTAAGAAATGGTTGTTATAAGCAATGTTGACATGTTGATGTAATTTGCCTACATCATCCATTAAAAAAAATATTATTAAAGACCTACCAGATACTCTTCAGAATACTTGCAAATGGTGTGACACCGATACCCGCACCCACCAATATCGCAACCTCAAATTTAAAGACATCTTCCGAAGCACTACCGAATGGACCGTCAACCATAACCCGAGGTAAAATTTTTTGAAGATCTGGGTTATCGGTAGAAATGTCGATACCTTCGTATTGACTTTTTGCACGATCTTTATTTTTTTTGCGTAGTTGCGTTTCTTCATCGAAGTTGCATCCAAGTTTCTTGGCCAGTGCTTCGGTGAAATCACCAACCACACGGATGTGCACAGAAATGTAATCTTCTTCGGGGGCGGAAGTCAGGGTGAAAGGATGCCATTCCCAGTATGATACTTCGGGGCAGCACAAGAAGATATATTGTCCTGCCTTCGTCTTGGTGTGTTCCTTTTTTATTTGAATTTCTACGACACGTGACGGATGCATCACGACTTTTGAAATGTAGGTTTTGTGACGTCCTCTGATCTCGCGAAGAACACGTTCGGCGACATAGATTGTGCCCGAGGTAATCCAATACTTCCAAAATACAGCAATGTCACCACAAAAAGGAGGTCGGTCCGGTTGAATCATGCAGAATGCTCCATGGAATGACCAGGCGGCAAAGAATAAAATGAACAGATGGTGAAGGTACCAGAATCGATTGAAGTGACGTTGTCTACTCTTGTCGGTGGCAGTGACAACCATGATGAACAGGAAAATCAACATAAAGTAACCGGTAGCTCCTGGACCGGTGAGAAAATTAAGTTTAAGAAACAGAATTATGCCGCCGTTTTTTGCTTTGGCAAGTTCCCAAAAGTTGATCCAATGTGACACTGTGTGTACAATCGTAAAGAATACAATTGACCAACCCACGGCCTTATGGAATTCGATGTTCTCGTCAAATGGGATTATACCGTTCAGAGGGGTGGCACGTAAAAGCGAAATCAAATTCCTGCACACCGGGAATAAAATCATAGCCGCATCGACATGCAACACAAGTGCCGCAGAACGTGCGAGCACAAACGTTATGCCAAAGGCTCCTCGTGCTCCATTCCAGTTATCGCTGAATATAAAATTGAGAAAGGCCATCGAAAATACCAACGTATGAAGGAATATCCAGACTCCAAAAAATATTGTCCTTGCGCCTATATCGAAAATGTTTGCGCATCAGTTTATTAACCGTAACACATGAATTATCAAAATATGCTATTCACGGCTTTAATTAATTACCTTCGTTGATCATCCACGATTGGAATTTTTCCAAACTGGTACTTGGTTTTTTCACGGTGACGCTTGAATTATAAGCATTTGCGGGATCAAATCTATCTAACTGTGGCAACCGTTTCACAGAGTCTCCCCTCGCGAGTTTCCTTAAGGAGTCGCCTCGCGCAATTGGATTATTACTAGTCAGTTTTTTCGCTGAGGCCTGTCTGTGAAGAGCGACCTCTTCAGGGTATAGTACATTGTCCGATGAACCGGGAACCCCCGTCGAGTAAGATTCTCCGAGACCGAGACTTCTGGAGTACTGGGTCATCTCTGAATCATTAGTATCACGAAGTGTTCTACCATTAGTGTCTTTATACGGGTTATAACCTGGTGGATTGTTTGCGCTCATTTTTAAAAGTCAACGATTTAAAACAATTTTTTTTTTTTTTAAAGTAGAAATGTACAAGTATGTATATATTAAATACAGCAGAATGAAAGAATGACTATGACTCGGCCAGCCGAGAAGAGTATTTTTTTATATCTTCAAAAGATGAAAGAAGAAAAACGATAGAGGTGTGGTTACATAAACGATGGTTAAATAATGAACTACAAATACTACGAAACAAAGTTGAATCAGGCCACACTTAGGCAGGAGCCGTGATTCGAATATGGAAAATGTTTCAATTAAATTGTACATTTCATCTATTGGCCGATTTTCCTTTGATGCAACGTGTTATATATGTGTATAAAGATACCTTATTTTGGTCGAACCAATAAGATAGCGTATCATTGAAGATGGTCTAAGGTGAAACCGAAATTCCCTAAAAGTGCAGAATAAGTACCAAGAGAAAAATTGAAGGGCTCAATTTTGATTGCCCATGACTTTCAACGACATAGCAGACCTTCAACAATTAACCTGTTAATATCATATTATAGATTTCTTTTTGGAAAAAAAAAAATCAAACTTTACCCGCAGATGAGCATCGGTAAAATTCCGGTTCCTCAATGAACCTTGCAATTCCCATTTTCGGAATGAAAAAAAAAAAATTCGGCACTGCCTGAATGTTTACGGATAAATCTTGTTAATTTAATTTAATTCCATCGACAAGAAATTTTGCTATTTGTAGCAGACAAATTAAACAAATTTATTAGTCCTTGTTTTATTAAAAAAATGTGGATAAAGATTTTTTCTTGCAAAAAGAAATTTAATAAAAATTGATTTTGAATAATGAGACGATAGCTAATCAAATAGCATACAGTATATTGTGTATGGTTTTTTAAAAAATATTACATTAATGTAATATTTTTCATAAAAGTTTTTCATAACCATTATAATTTATGATATCTATAAATAAAAAACCAAATTTTTAGTAACATTAATATTCTTTAAACTTGAGTGTATAAACTGCTAATAATATAGCCAAAGGGCATTGAAGCTTTTTATTTAAGCAATAGTATTTTTTAGGTTCGTTGCTAAATCATGAATTTTCGTCACGAAACCCTTATGTAATATTAATACTTCGATAAAAATACATGTTAAATATTACGAATAAAGATATGAAAGTACTTTTGAAATCAAAGTCCCAAGAAATATTGTCTTTATCTATAATCCAATTAACTATGCTATTAAAATTTATGCTATAGATGAAAATACGGATTCTATGTAGAGAGTTGAAGTTTCGCAAATTGTTCAGCGATCCTTAGTGCGTCTTCAATCTTATCAACATTGTTTCCGCTACCTTGGGCGGCATCCTCTTTTCCACCGGACTTGAAACAAGAAATAAAGAATTATGTTAATGTATTAAGTAATATTTGTTTGAATACAGTCTAAGAAAATGCATGCACCTTTCCGCCTACACTTTCCGATACAGTTTTGGCCCAGTCATTTGCTTTTAATCCTTTTTCTATTAACGGCTTTCCTACGGTGCAACTGTGAGAAACTCGATTGGAACTTTCGTCAACCGTGAACAAATAGGCGGCCTTGTCTTTTAGGTTGGTCTTGACGTGCGTTATTGCGCTCGCAATCGCCTACAAATTAAGAAACGTTTGAATTCTATGGTATCAAAAAATCCGAATGTTTATGTAACTTGAGTGTACTTTAGTGTTTGAGCCAATATCCACTAATTTTATTAAATAGCGACTTTCTGGATTTTTTTCAAAGTAATCATTTATCATATCAATAACCTACGAAGGAATTGCATCAAAGTGAGTCTAAATCAAAAACACAGATGAATCGAACAGTGTTGGGACATACATACCTCTTTAGCCTGTGTTGCTTTCTGGGCCCTATCTGCTTCAATGAAAGCTTTCTTGAGTTTTTCATGAGTTAACCGAAGTTCCGACTTTTTCAAGGCAGATATGTTCGATGCGTCTAATTCTTTCAATATTTGTTTAAGCGAGGCATCCAACTCGGTTCCTTTTAATTTTGAAAGGTTATCAAATTTCACTTGGAACTCTTCGGCAAGTCTATGAGCCTAAAAAAGAAATCGTTTAAAATAAAGCTCATCCTCACTAATCACAAATCAATAAACACCCATAAATAAAAATACCTGTTGAGCTTCTTCGCCTGTCACGGCAACAATTCTACGCGTTCCCTTAGCAATACCAGATTCTTCTAATATAATAAAATTTTTAATATCACCGGTTTTCGCGACATGCCTTTCAAAAAAACATAATTGTCAGCAAGATTGTTGAGAATTTTTTAAGAGCTCGTCAAACTTGACTTACGTTCCACCACAGAATTCTATTGAAGTTTCCCTCCATCGTGGATTCGAAATATCTTTTATGATGTCATCGACGTCATATCCGATTGACACCACCCTAACAGGGTCAGGATAGACTTCTCCGAATACAGCTCGGAGACCATAAATGGCCTTGGCAACTGGCAATGGGACATCCTTCGAGTAAACTTTTTGATTTTTCTTAATGAAATCGTTGGAAATCTTTTCAATGAGAACGAGCTCATCATTCGCGACACCTTTCTATAAATAGAGACATATAATTTTCAAGTCACAAAACTGGTTCCCGTTGTTCAGTGAAAATATAGACAAGACATTCACCTTAAACGAAAAATCAAATCTCAACTTCTCGGGCGCAACCAATGAACCTTTCTGATCTATCGTATCACCCAGCACTTCACGTAACGCATAATTCAGTATATGCGTGGCTGTGTGATTGTTCCGAAGCGGCCATCGACGGAGCTTTTTATAAATAAATATGATTAATTCTTGGGGTGATTTCAATTGTAAAATTCTCTGCACGTGTAATATCCTTACTTACTTCATCGTAAGTTGCGACAATTTCGTTGCCAACAGATAGGTTACCATACTTAAGATATCCAATGTGTAATACATAACCACCGAATATTTGAACGTTTTCTACCACAAACTCGGCCTGACCGTCAATAGTGACAGAACCTGTATCATACTGTTGTCCACCTTGTTCAGCGTAGAAATTCGTACGATCGAGTATTATGCCGAAACTTTTTTCGGATGGGATATCGGCAGTACTTTGAGGAAATGAATGATTATAGTAGATGGCACTGATCGTAGCGTTAATGTTACAAGATTCTGTAAAGTAAGAACCATCAAAATTATGCTTTGCATGGTTTAAACGATTTAGTTCAATCAAACATTGGTACATACGATATTTGTAACTGTCATTCGTTATAGGCAAGTTTTCAATTTTTGCAATATCATGCACGTCCAATGCAACAACTTCCTCACCGCCGGCACCGTCACTGCGAGCTAGACGGCTCCGTTTTCTGGCTTCCTCTTGTTCTTCCAAGAATTCTTGTTCATTGACACCAAGGCCGTTTTCTTCAGCCATTAATTGAGTCAAATCAACCGGAAATCCGTAGGTATCGTATAACCTCCAGACGTCGGCACCGGGAAGAACTTTAGATCCAGCCTGTTTAGCCTTCTGTAAATAGACATCAAAGAGTTTTTCGCCACGATCTAAGGTACGCGAAAATGATTCTTCTTCCTCGTTAAGGATCTCTTTAACATCGACAATTCTTTTAGAGATTTCTGGGAAAGCTTCGCCCTTGAACAGATAAAAAAACACGATCAGTAATATGACAACAAGCAATTAAGCAATCATTAGATAAATACCATCTCCTTGACGACCGTATCCACCAAACTTGAAAAGAATCGACCAATTTGCACATTAAACCTTTTTCTAGCGTAACGTGCACCGCGCCTGAGGATTCTTCTTAGCACGTAACCACGCCCCTCATTACTCGGAACACCGCCATCAGATATCGCGAAGGTTAGGGTTCGCACGTGATCTGCAATCACTCTATAGGCCATATCCAATCCGTCAGAATCTTCGGCACCTACCTTCCCTGTGTAAGCTCTGGCACCCGTTATTTCCTGAATTTTATCAAATATAGGCACGAAAATGTCCGTATCGTAGTTTGAATATTTATTTTGCAAGGCCGATACAACTCTCTCTAATCCCATTCCGGTATCAATATGTTTACTAGGAAGCAGGCGCAGTGAACCGTTTTGTTCACGATTGAATTGCATAAATACGAGATTCCATATTTCCACAACATTTGGATCATCCTGGTTCACCAAGTGTGCCGCGTCGCGACCTCCTATACGGTCAAAATGGATTTCAGAACATGGTCCACAAGGCCCGGTTTCGCCCATTTCTATATACATATATATATATATTAGTTCCAGAAATCACAATTGAAAGTTGTATCTCCAGCACCGCCATCGCGGTAATATCACAGTTACTTGCCCCAAAAGTTATCCTTTGAATTCCCAGGAACCAACATTTTTTCCTCCATGCCCACCTCCAACCAAAGATTTTTTGCTTCAAAGTCAGCCGGTAATCCCATTTTTTCATCCCCTTCAAAATAAGTAACATAAAGCTGATCCTTGGGGAGCCCGTATACTTTTGTTAGGAGTTCCCATGCCATTGCAATTGCATCTTTCTGGTAATATATAAATTGATATCAACTCGTGCGTTCGACAATGTTTTCTCGTCGTGAATAATCTTAAAACCAGATTATTAACATCTCACCTTAAAATAATCACCGAACGACCAATTCCCCATCATTTCAAAAAACGTGTGATGATAAACGTCTTTCCCTACATCCTCGAGATCATTATGCTTCCCACCTTCAGGTACCATGGATTTTTTTCGTGAACGTGACGAAGATAGAAAAAAACAATTATTGTCACAAAGCTCAGACATGTGAATTCGACTAGTGGTAAATATAGTCACCACGTATTACCTGCACGAATACACTTTTGACTATTGGCTGCCCTTTTCAGTTTTCCGAGTTCAGAGTTTGGATCAGCCGTCCCCAAAAATATAGTCTTAAACTGATTCATTCCGGCATTCGCGAATAGCAATGTTGGGTCCTCAAAAGGAATCGTGGAGGAAGAAGGCACGTGTTTGTGACCCTTGGACTCAAAGAATGATATGAAAGTTGAACGGACTTTGGAAGCTGGCCATACAGTCGTTTGCGCCATTTTAGAAGTATGGAAGAATTTCGAATAATTTAAAATGCAACCTCGAAGCTTTGGCGAAAATAAGCGCGAGCGATTGCTGAGCATCATGCCGCTATTTGTAACCGGTGGCTAGGTGATCAGCCAATGTTTTTGGGGGTCCTTTTTTCAAACAACACGACTAATAATGCTAGTGAATTAAGGGGCCCAGACAAAATGTAACTACCTGTTATGACTCATAATTACTAAATTTTGCGCCACACATATGCGTGAGTCAATTGTAACGCATGCCGATCACATGGAATTCGATTCGGCGGAGCAAATTCACGAAGAGTTGGACTTGAAACTCGTGCAAGCAATCAGAAATGGTGATACCGCAACGGTCAAGCAGCTTTTGCAAGAGGGAGCCGACGTGTGGTATAGAGATGAACAGGTAGAGTATACAGGTTGATCAAAAAACTCGATATCATTTCTTATTGCATTCCGTTGTAGGGGGTGAGTCCCTTACATGTTGCTTGCGAAATTGGAAATCGAGACATTGTCAGTATATTGCTTCAAGAAGGTCACGCGTGGAATGCTATTGACACAAGCGGAACAACTGCTGGAGAATATGCCAAACGTAATGGTCACGAGGAAGTCTACGAAATGCTTATCGAAGAAGGTTGTCGCGTTGAATTGATTCTTGGTATTTATTATATACATTCTTAGATTTGAGGGTATTAGCTACGATAGATTTAAACATTTATTCGAACCTCACATCAAGGAATGATTGAGGCAAAGGAGGAAAAAGATCAACCCTCAAATATCGAATATTTGTCGCGGCCATTGAAATATTCAGAAGATGGCACGAAGTTGTTTGACTTTGAAGACAATGGAGTAATGATGGGTTGGGAGAAACCATTGATGGACAGACACGCGGAAATACTTTGTCCACGGGAAGGTTTGGACATTCTGAACATTGGGTTTGGCCTGGGACTAGTTGATATGGCCATTGAAAAATATAAACCACGTTCGCACACAATTGTCGAAGCTCATCCAGATGTTTACGACTATATGATAAAAGAAGGATGGGACAAGAAACCAGGTGTAAAGATAATTTTCGGAAGGTGGCAAGACGTCTTAGATCAGTTTGAGATCTATGATGGCATATTCTTCGATACGTTTGGCGAGTTTTACAAGGATCTACGCGATTTTCACGAAGAGATCATCAATTTTCTCAAACCCGATGGGATATACTCATTTTTCAACGGTTTAGGTGCAACGAATAATTTTTTTCATGATGTTTATTGTCGAATTGCCGAGATGCACCTGTCCAGCGTGGGACTACAAACTGAATTCATAGAGATCCCCATCGACCCCTCTGATGAAAAGATTTGGGAAGGTGTCAAGCGCCGCTATTGGACATTGGACACCTATCGATTGCCAATATGTCGATTTTTGTCATAATAAATAAAACAATTACTTTATGTGAATAGATAGACATCATCGATTCAGTTACAAGATATTTCTCGCGACATGTAACCCATAAGCATATGCGTATAATCTGCTATCTATATACAAGCTTTCGTTGTGTCGATGTTGCAATTCTGTGAAATCTTGATTTCGTTAGCATCAATAATACAGTAGTATCAAGCAATGAAATGGTGCATCACCTCGTAGTTCTTCATATAACCTTTCCAGTGGAACTTTTATCACCTGTAGACTCCATTCGTCCTCATCCAACAGCTGCTCAGGAGCGATATTGTCAGCCGAATTAGGGTCAATCTTCCATTCGTAAGAAATCAATTAACTCCTTATATCTGTATATATAACCATTCATGAGTTCAAACATACTTTACAAAGAATTTACCTCGACGTCAACAATTTTGGTCATTGAATCTGTTAGTCCAGGCTCGTAGCAGATAGGGTCTGATACATTTTTAACTGTGCCAGTATAACCCGTTTCTTCGCGAAGCTCGCGTAATGCTGCGGCCTCAACTGTCTCTTGAGCATCAATTATACCTGTCAGGGTAATATGTTTTTCAATCGGATGTATTTGAAATGCGCTCGACCTATAAATTACAACATACCCGAGGGAAACTCTATACAATATCTCCCAATGGCCGGTCGATATTGAACCACCAAAACTGTTAACGGTGGAGAATTCGGAGCACGAATAATCCCGTGTATATCGGTTGCTTTTGTATCATTTTTGAAACATTGTCAAGTCCAGAAATTACCACTGAGGATACTCGTAAAATAAATTATCCATACCATCGATTTCTCTCTTATCACCTTTCGTGGTGGACGGGGTTATCCTCCTGCAAACCTCCCATTTTCTCACGACTTTTGCATTCGGGTCGATATATTCTACCTCATCTAGTTCCAACCACTTACCGGAGCCAAGCTTCTTACATGCGCTTGACTCTTCTACTCGAACGAGCTTAAGTTTGTAATTGGTCTTTTCCATAAATGTGCACACGCACATATCGGGCCTTTCAAAGGCTTATCACCAAATACCCGTCACATGATTTGCGATTCGTCATACTCAATTTTACGCGCTCCGATAACGCGTTTGTATGTCACGACACATTTATAAATTTCGAACATAGTTTGTCCCAATAAGAAAGCGGAATTCGCTAAATCGATTCCGAAGAAATAATACTCGAAGAAATTGTAATCTTTTTTTTTTCACTATTTGTTAGCACCTGTTATTGTTGAGAATAGAATAGTAGAGTGCATAATCCCCTTACATCTTGGAACCACCACCTCAATCACTTTTGACGTCTTACAATAGGAAATTAGTTGGATGATTTTCTTCCAATTATTTCACGATAGAAATATACCAAATACCAAATGTGCGATTCTTTTCATGTGACTCTTAAATGAGTTGAGTGGATGGATGACCCGGGGGCATTTTCTTTTAATATGCTTTTATGGATTGTACCAGTCCGAACAAATGAGCAACAACTGACTAACGCATATATGGTATACCATCTTATCATAATAAAATTGACCATCCACCAAGCGTTCCTCGAATTTCATTCCTCCAAATGTGTTTGCCTCAAATGGTTAAGATTTTCCTCTGTGATGAGTACCTTAGCAGTCATAAAACAACATACGTAACGTGCATACGTAAATACGTACCAACACGTATTAACTCTGGTGTTGCTTAACAATTTCAACATCCTACACAATTACATTAAATAAACCTTTTTTCCTTTGGTTGTTCGTACAATTATCAAACCATATCAATGACTGAACTCATTCCATACATAATTTGGGAAAAGGTGGGCTTAAAGCGTCGTCTTGTAATTTGTTTCCTACTTATATCTTCTGACTGACGGTATTTAAATTTCGGGGAAAAAGCAAGAGGGTTATTTATGTGCCCAACACTGCATAAATTCTCTTCTGCAAGGTATTTGATACGTTTCTTGACACACGTTCGCAGGTCTTCTTGAATTTACCGTATTTCATTTGCAGGAGAATATTTCACGGCTGTAGAACTCGGTGAAATTGCTAGTAATTTGGACAAGGCTGAACAAGCCGCGCTACGAGAGGGAACCACTGAATCAACAGAGAATTTACAACACGATGAGACTCCGCAAAAAAGTCAAAACATGGATGATTCTGGTATTTAAGTATTTAAATATTCTCAAAGTTAACCTTTTTACTCATTCCAAATTTCTATTTGAAGGTTTCTTTTCGTCACAAGTAAGATATTCTTATTGAAGACGATGTCAATTGAGTCACCTATAAAATTACATTCGTTATAGTAGCGACTTTGTGGTCATCTATTCATATTCATGTTGAACAACTATGATTTTCACCTTGTCTCGTCGCTGATGTCTTATTGTTTTGCATAATAGGTATTGAGTCATGCGTTAAAGGTGTGGAATCTTGGTAAATACACGTTCCTTATGAATCTCTTGGTTAACCCTGACTAGCGTACAGCGTACAATTATTAATTTGAATTATAAATCAAAACATAGAATTAATCCCCATTGGCTCGGAAGTATGCCGCGACACCAAGGATCAACCAGAGTAAACCGAATTTTTATTTATTTTCTGTCATTCATTTTTCAGAATGATTGGAATACTTATTCATCTTTTTAATAATTAAACAGAGATGAACCTGCATATATATGTAATCTTGCCGAGCATTGGTAGGTCGATCATTCAGATTTAATTCTATCCATTTCCTTACCATTTATTATTGTTTAACCAATTTTGCTAAAGGTTTACCCTCCGCAAATTCGGTGGTCATTCATCTCGTTGGTACAATTTGGATTCACTGTTAAATGGGCCCAAGTATATCAGCCCGACCTATCTAGGAATGTTACTTAAACAGCTTGAAAATGAAGGTAAATCTTTTTGGGGGTGGGTAGTCCAATTGCGTAAA